TTTCGGCCATTTTCGGCCTAAAATCAAGATTTCGGCTTGATTTTAGGCCGAAAATGGCCGAAACCGAAACCGAAATTTCGGTCGGACTCTAACTATATCTCATAATCAAATTCCAAGATAAAAATTCTATTAAATTCCTATCTAACAATAAACTGTTAGATTGATATAGTGTTGATTGGTTGACGGACCTGCTCTTGTACTTTTGGCCTTAGAGCATTGGAAAGGCTTTTTCAATCGCTCATAAGATATTGTCTAAATATTTTCATTAATGTAGTAATATTGGTATTAATTATTTTAGAGAAGTGGAAGTCGCGCCTGCCGAAACAGATGGGAGATGATCCAGGAAGCTTTGCTGAGGAGCATTCTCTCCAGCCAACAATTGGAAGAAGCTATACTTTCGTACAATCAATTGTACGCACAGCGCTGGAACTTTGCAGCGCTCCATCACTTTTTCTCAGAGGTATACTTCTCGGCGGTGCGCCGCGCTTAGTGCCGTGTCCTTAAAAAGAGTCCGATTAACACGAGAATTTTGGTCGCAGGTTATGGATTCGGAAGAGACGACCATATTCTTTGAAATTTTGATGCCGAAGTTGGTGCAGTTGGCCCTGCAGCTTCCTGAATTGTTAACTGGTGCGGTACCCTTGTTGAAACGACACAGCAACGGCTCCATCAGTTTAAGCCAGTTACAAGTAGCTTCGCTACTGGCAAATGCATTTTTTTGTACATTTCCCAGACGCAATTCCAGTAATCCGCAATCGGAATATGCGATGTATCCATATATTAATTTTAACAGGTAAGACCCCCGATTTATTTGAAATTATTTCATGAAAATACTTATCTATTGTGTATTTACTTCTTCTGATCGCATATTTTAGATTGTACGCGGCTTACAATGAAAAACACAGCCAGTGCGAGTCGGTGATGGAAAAGATTAAGTGTCTTCTCCATTATTTCAGGCGGGTAACAACTAAAGGTGAGTACATCGTAATTATCAACTCTCTTATACAACGAATACTCGGAATATAATAATGGCGATAATTTGCGATGAACGGATATGACGTAGAACCTGAATCACATTACAATTTTTACATAGAGCAGCACCTGAAGGTATAATAACAATTGAACGACGTTACGTCCCGTTGGAAAGCTGTCCAAAGTGGAATTTGCAAGACCAGAAATTGCCACCGTTACACATAACGAGTAAAGGGACCATCGAATGTGAGGGAGCGGGATTGCTCCAAGTGGATTTTGCAAACAAGTGAGTCTTGCAGTTAATTATTATAATTCTGCAAACTTTGAGTTGTTTAAGAATTATTTTATACTGTTAAGAACATTGTTTGAGACTCTTTAACGAACGAAATTATAAAACAAACGAATATGAACAAGAGAAAAGAAAAGAGAGGCGGAGGATAAACGGCTTTTTGAGATTATTCCTATTTACTAATTTTCTTTCTGTGTGAATAGATATGTGGGCGGAGGTGTGCTAGGCTTAGGCTGCGTGCAGGAAGAAATACGATTCGTTATATGTCCAGAACTTATGGTTACTATGCTGGTCACGGAAGAACTAGACGATACGGAGGCACTCATCGTCAGCGGTATCGAGCGGTACTGTAAATACGAGGGGTACAGCAACACTTTCAAGTGGAAAGGCGATTTTGTAGACGAGACACCGAGGGATAACAGCGGTAGACGTATGACGTCAATCGTCGCTATTGATGCCCTTTACTTCAAGCAATCCTCGTTGCAATTCAATATGGACAACATAAACCGTGAGCTTAACAAGGTTTGTAGTCCCGATGGAAATGTCGTCACAATCAGAATGGATTTATGTAAACGTTCGTGAAATTTATGCCCCAGGTTCCGAAATTATCGTAAACTTGGAACAACTTCGTTCCGAAATCTTCCGTCACTTTCGTGTAAATTACAACTTTCATTTAGATTATTATATCTGATGTCCTTTTATTCATTTCGTCGTTCGATAATATTCTCCCTAAAACTTCGAGACTATTGTTTCCTCAAAACAATTTATTTCAGTGCTCGTATTCATACGATACTGTTTTTAATTCTATCGCAATGTTATTCGCCGTAGGCTTATGTTGGATTCGTCGGTTCTGATATCCTCAAGAACAATCTGCCCGCCATCGCAACGGGAAACTGGGGATGCGGCGCGTTTCGCGGAAATCCGAAATTGAAAGTCGTGATACAGTTGATGGCCGCGGCGGTTGCAGGCCGATCGATGGTCTATTTTACTTTCGGAGACACGAAGCTGCGAGACGACGTGGCAGCGATGTACGCACATTTGGTACATCACGATATTGATATAGGTATCCACATTTACAAATTAAAAAGTGTAGTCACTTTTACATTATTTGCATATTCATTGGACTGTAAGTTTTGTTTCGTTAACTTTTTAGCGCGACTCTACTCCATGCTGTCGGAATACCGTCGGGAGTCTGCATCGAGCGCTGATTCGGATTTTTATCGTTTCTTGTACAACAGAAGTAGGATAAAACCATTGAGCAACTATTTCCCGGCGAAGACTGAGAGCACTTCGGCGAATATTTCCGCCGAGTGTCTGAAGGAAACGCTACTTAAAAGAAACAAAACCGCGGGCTTATCGAACAAAGGCGTCGATAACAAGCGATATATTTACTCGGCGGCTAAGGAGAAGGAAATCGCCGAGGAGGAAAAGATACTGAATTGGCTGACAAGCTGCAATGACGATAGCAACGGCAAGGCTACGTGCGATACTGAGGATACCCGCGATGGGAAAGCCCGGAGTAAACCAAGCGAAGAGGATAGTCGCCGTGAAAACAGCGTTTTGCAAGACTATAATTTTGCAAACAACACCAGCAACAGAGAGAACGTACAAGCGGAAGATAAGATATCGAATAAGTTGGACAACAGTGCGGATATCTTGAATTCGAAAGAACCCGTGGTTCCATGTCTTATCGACAATCAAAACGCGTCGAAGGAGATAAAACCTGAATCATCCGCAGAACTCGGCGACAGCGAATCTATCAAGATCTCGAAAGACTGCGCTCCGGAAGCGTGTAAGCAAAAATCGCTCCCGAAAAAGGGCGGCCAGAGGAAGATCTCCGACTTTTTCCAACGAATATCGTGAATGCTGAACGAGCGTTTCGAACCAAATTAGCTTCGGCGCACTCTGTAATTGTAAACATTCTGTATAATTTGTATAATTTTCAACGTTCCACGTCTTGAAAGTTCCAGAGTACGTACAATGTAAATAAAAATTCTGCGCAAGATGAAATTGTCGAACCTTAACGTTTTTCCCATTTTGTGACACTTGCATCTTGTCTTAAAGCGTGCAGATTTATGAAATGTATCGGAAAATATGAATTCCACGCGATGCCGAAAGATCAATATCTATTACTGTCAATGGCAATTCCTCGCGTTCTCAAATCGTCGGCGCCGGGGCGGCCCTTTAAAAATCGACCTTTAAAAGAAAAGCCCTCCGCCCCCCCCGTTCGGCGGTGGATCGGCGCGGGTCACGTGGGCGCTTATCGACGTATCGCGTTGGGCCGAGAGAGCTGTCAAACGCGAAGATGGCCGCCGCCACTGAAATATTAAAGTCTCCCGCCGCGAGAAGCGACACGACTCGCCGAGAGAAAATGTAGAATTTGCCGGGACGGAGGCGCGTGCCAGGTAATACCCGATCGCGTGGCCGCGACCGGCGATCGCGGCACCGCGCCCGTCAACGCGATCGTTCCGCGGCGCGGCCGTTCGTGGGCGGATTCGTCGCGGACGACGTGTGCGTGTCACGCGCGTATGTGTGTACGTGCATGTGCGCGCGTGTTCGCGCCGCGATGTGACATCTCGTCTGACGTTTCGAGGGGGAGAGAGAGAGAGAGAAGGCGAGCGGGAGGGCGGACGGACGGACGTAAATATTGAGCCGGATGCTCGACGGACGGCGATGCCGCTGATCCGTGTGCGCTGACCGCCGACCCGATCGGCTGCCGCCGCGACGCGACGCGACGCGACGCGACGCCGGGGACCGCCGTCGCCGATGCCGTGCCATTTTCGCCGAGTCGCTCCATGCTGCCCGCGACGTTGACAGCCGCGACGTCGGCACGACGGGCGCACGAGCGTGCCCGCTGACGGCCGTCATGCAGTGCTCCTCCGCTCCTACGTGCGATCCTCTTGCCGATCGCCTGAGTTGTTGAGTCGCGATTCAACGTATGTTGCAACCATTCAACGCAGGCTTGTGCGTCTGTGTGTGTGTATCTGCGCGCCTCTGTATGTGTGTGTGTGTGTTTCATTTTGCGTCGTTCCTTCCAAGCACGTTGACATTTTCGTCAATTCGTTAAAATAGCTCATTCGTATCGATCAGCTTTTCCTATTGACCAGCTATGACCAGAGAATCGAGCGTCTTATTCCGTTTTCGTTTTAACCGCTCGCGAGTACTCTTTTTTTTTTACTCCGTTTTTCTACATGCGCCAAGAACGAGAAATGATATCCGTCTTGGATTCGCTGTCGCTTTCCGGTCTCTGCCTCGCTGAAGCTGGGGCAGTTTCGGTGTCGCCCGAACGGCAGCTCCGCGAAAAAGTTGCCCTTCGGCGCAACGTCGGCCGCGGAGTTGCCCCTGTGTCACAGCTGGAGAATGTCGCGCCCCGAGATTACCTTCTTCTTCTCCTTTCAGCAAAATCTCAAGTATGAACATAATGCGCAAATTACGAGGGGGTACCAGCGTCGGAGGTATGGGCTCGAGCGGTACCGGTGGCCTGGACGACTGTGCCGGCGGCACGAATCCGCAGCACACCGCTCTGGGGCTCATGCACCTCAAGAAACTCTTCTCCGAGTACACCCATCCGCCGCATCCCCTCTCTGACACTGAACGCGATGATAAGTTGTACAACATGTTGCCATTATTTTGCAAGGTAGGGCATCGATGCGAATTCTGCGACGTTCTTACTTCCCTTTGATATCAGAGCGGATCTTTCGCTTTGAAAAAGAAACACGTTCTTGTAAAGAGACCGTCTCGTGCCGCCAGGTATTTGGCTCTAGTCCATCGGGAGACATGAACGAAAAGTTCTGGGACATTTTGGCATTTACGCAACAAGTATCAAGACTGATGGTGTCCGAGATCAGGAGGAGAGCGAGCAACCAGAGCACCGAGACGGCGAGCTGTGCCATCGTCAAGTTTCTAGAGATCGAGAACAGCGAGGAGTCGAGTAACGGCTGGATGCTGCTGTCCGCGTTGAATCTGTTGGCAGCGGGTGACACGTCTCTGATACAAGTGAATTGAATTTCTCCGGTCGACAATTCGCTTCCAAGAGCGAGGCTCGTTTCCCGCAACGTCAATTTCTTTTTCAGGCCATGACCGCTGCCTCGGTCCCGTCAACTTTGGTCAAGTGTTTATACCTGTTCTTCGATCTGCCCGAGATGAACGAAGAAGACGCCGATATTACAGATGCAAATAGCGAATTTACTCCTAGAGAGCGTAGGATACTGTTACAAAAAATATTCGTTCAGGTGACGGCAATTTCCTAAGATAACAGTTTCAGACTCTCCTGGAGGATTATCTTTTATCCGCGAGATTAATTTGCTCCGTTGCAACTTGCAGTTATTGGTGAGATTATGTAGCCACCCTTATCCCGCAGAGGAGCTCGCCCGCAAAGACGATCTTACCTTATTGTTCTCAGCAATAACCAGTTGGTGTCCACAGTACAATATTATGTGGCGTAAAAGTGCCGCCGAAGTCTTGATGACGCTATCACGACATGGTCTTACGCAGAATGTAGTAGCCTATATTCATAGTAAGTTCAACACTTTGTCGCACTTGTTAGCTCGAGATCGAATCTACTTAATACATTGATTCGTCTTGCAGACAAAGGATGCATAGCACACTGTATCGATAATATGCAACGTGTACCTGAGCTGGCACCATTAGAAGTTGTAGAAATGTTCGTAACAGTGTTCTGTTTTCTAAAAGATTCCAGCGAGGTTTCTCAGACATTGTTAGACGACTTTCGTGCTTGTCAAGGCTATATCTTTCTATCTGAATTTCTGTTAAAGTAAGTGCATGTCTATTGTGAAATGCGTTTTCGCATTTGTAACGATGCATTAACAAGGGTATTTCTACATGTAGACACGCGCCGTCAAGATTAGAACAGGATAATAGAGCGGAAGCACAAGATGCTATCCGAAATTTGGTACTAATGTTAGCATCTTTAACAATGTGTGGTCACACAGAGTTAAAGCCAAGTCAAGCTAGTATGGGATCCTTGTTTCAAATACTCGGGTTTACCCTACCACAGCCAAGCAACAGAGGTAACCCCGCGAATGAGATGCCTCTTGAATTAAAGATACACGGCGGACATATTTTACGTCATTTTGTTGTATCCGCAGGAGGAAGCGTTCGAAATATTCAAGCGTTCCAAGTATTGCAGTCTGTATTCGTGAAATCTAATTCGCCGCTTCTGTGTTGCACCATATTGGACGCGATATCTAGCGTGTATCACAGCGATAATGCAAATTATTTTATTCTCGAGGGGCAGAATACGCTGTCCCAGTTTGCGGAGAAGATCCATTTAAAGAATCCGGAGATACAAGAGAAATTCTTTCAACTATTGGAGTTTATTGTTTTCCAGCTTAACTTCGTTCCGTGTAAAGAACTCATATCTCTGTCCATTTTATTGAAAACGAACAATTCAGTCTCTTGCAGTATTATGTGTATGGTAACTCTCCTCAATATACTCAGGTAATATGCTGAAAATAACTTGGAGAATTTTATCTTGGAGCACATTTAAGTAACAAGTATTCTAATTTAAATCGAATCACTCGTTTCAGACACAACACTATATTTAAAGATGTTTACAGAGAAGTTGGTATGTTAGAAGTTTTTGTGACTTGTCTTCATCGGTATGCAACATTACTTAAGGATAAGCAAGCGGCGGTTGATCAAGGATTAGGTAATCGTCGTTAAAGACATAGCCGTGCGTAAGTTTGCACGCGAGTAAGTTTTGAGAATCTGACATGATTTCAGAATACACGATATGCCCCGAGGATGAACGATTGGGTGCCTTAGTGATGGAGGCTTTAACAACGTTATTAGCGAGTAATGTTCAAAATGCGAATGTCTTTAGAGAATGCGGAGGCGCGCGTTGCGCTCATAATCTAGTGCCCTATGTAGATTGCCGGTATCAAGCACTTGGTATTGTGAGAGAATTGATACTCAGTGCAGGTGGTGATGATGATATGGCGACACTGTTGGGAGTCATGCATTCAGCACCTCCTAATGCCTTGATTTTGAAGACGCATATACTAAAGGTGAGTTTGATATTGCTCCGTTACTCTCATCGTTATATGTTCGTAATTATAAAACAATATAATTGCTTTCCAGTCTCTGTTAGCCTGTCTGCGTGAGTCGCATAGGACTAGAACGGTTTTCCGAAAAGTTGGGGGCTTTGTTTACGTGATGTCAGTTCTGGTGTCTTTGGAGAGTCAATTAGGCCCGCAAAGGTCGGAGAAGAGCGAACCTTGCAACGATATCATACAGAGGACTATGCAGGACGAGAGCCAGTTGCTAACGTTGCTACACGTGGTGTTTCATACTATAAGTACAGCTATGCGATTTGAGCCAGCAAATGCAAAATTCTTCCATCATGAGGTACGAATTTGAAGAATATTGTAATAACTGCGCTATTGATAGCTCGCTATTTTTATTGCATAAAAATAATATCGATTTTGCAGATTTGCCAGTCGAGTCTGTGCGATACTTTACGTCTCCTCGGGTGTTTCTCGACGCAGACGAAAATCACTGAGATGGATATGATACCAACCATGAATTATCACAATATGCTAATATCATTATTTACTGGGAGTATATTGGAACCAGTATTTCCAGATAATATGCCAAAGACATTAGGATACGCGTGCTTGCTGCTGCGTTTGCTTTACGATGTGGCGCTCGATTCCTTTGACAAACCAAATTTAGCTAACGTAGGGATAAGATCCCCAAGTCACAAACAAAATAGCATGGAGGTACACACTCGTTCTATTCAGAGTAAGATCACCAATGTTTTATCTTTCAAATATGGTAATTATGGCTATGCATTTCAGCAAAAGTCATTTGACTCTCCTGGAAGCGGCAAGAGATATATCATAAATACCTTAAACCTAAGCCCGCCTGCACCTGAGCCAATTGTAGTTCATCCTGGTATAGTAGTAGGAATGCTTCACCTACTTCCATCTATATCTGAACCATCCAATCCGCAAATGGCACTAGCGTTACAATTGTACGTGGCGGAG